TATTCATCATGTGTTCCAGAAAAATTCTGCTTTAAAGGAATAGTATTTGTCAGATGTCAGTAAGTGCTGGTAACACAGTGTCACTTATTAATCAGAATGCTGCATCAAGTAAACATTCTGGTTAGAATTTCCACGTACTAGAATTATCGTGCTATTTAATTTTGAACTCTCTGTTGTCTTAAATGGGTCACTTTTAATTGCATTATTTTTCAGATTCCTTTGCATTTTCCATTATTATTATCTTGTAAAGTGAGATTGTTGCTATTAAATTGCAGTTGTTTGTTTCTTTAATTGTGTTGGTTTTATGTTCAAAACATTTATTTTGATGGTCTGATAATTTGTGAAATTATACAACAAATATATTTGAACAAACACAATGTGAGTATTTTGCAAATCTTTAAAATAGCATTTTTTAAATTGCTGTGATACTATGAGCCATATAGTAGTTGGGTTGTGCAGAATATATAGTTTATGAAACTTGATTCTCAATATATCCAACAGATCTGAGACACGTGTTAAATGAAATGGGAACAGAGTAACACAGATCAGATAATCAGCTGAGATTAAAGTGTGTACATGGTACACACTTTGTGTAATCTTATAGTCCAGTGCCAAGTTTTGTGTTTGAATTTTCAAAAGCATGCTTAGGAAGAGTTCTGTAAGATATAAAGAAATTTTGTTGCATACATTTTGCAGTTGCACAGTGAAGCAAGTACCAATAAGACGTATAAAACAGGGCGAATTATAACTTTAATAGGTCTTGGCTTAAGCAGTTCCCAAGTGTTCTTAGCCCATGTAGAACATAAGATAACCTAGAAAAGTAGTTGTTTTCCTACTTTTTGATGGCAGATATTAGTGAGGAAAAATGCTAAATATTGTAATGACAAAGATTACAAAAGTCACGAAAATACACTGGACTTAAACTAAGAGCAGGTCTTCAACTGCCTGTCAGTAATCAGGATTTTCAAATGGATAATGAGTGAAGGAGTAAAATCAAATCTCAGGATATGTTACCCAAAGTCCATTTCATATCATAGGGCCTGTGAAATATTAGGACTGTTGGAAGTTAATTCACTCATTAATAATCCATTCACTTCATGGTTGTCTCTCAGCTCCCACTTAAGTTCCCACTAAATACTTGCTTCTCAAAGCTTATTAAACTGCCTGTAAAGCACCTTGACTTGTTGTGATAATGACCTTGTTACTTGATTAAGTGCTTTGTCCATACCAGCATGCTAAACCCTCTACAAGTACAGGAAAAAAATGGTTCCTGCCTTGCAGCATTTGCAGTAATGCATTACACACACAAAATTGTGGTACTGAGCTTAAATGAACAGTTTACAAAGAAACCCCATCATGTGGAAATTGCTCATGATGCTTTTCTGTCTTACAGGAAGGATTTAGTAGCTTTATTAGAGTAAATTAAGCACTCTCGAAATGCCATGGCAGTATTTTCATTTTCTTCCTTTTGTTTTATCCGTGAATGCTCTGGTGGACCAATTTCATTATCCTAAACCAACATGGTTGGTCTGGTAAGAAATTACTTGTCCCATGTAGGGTTTAGCTTACAGAGGAGTACAGGTGTAAATGAGCAAGTGTTGGATTAGATATTTACTCTCTCTAGGAAGGTCCCTCGTGAAACAAAAGGACATGATTTTTTTCTTAATCAACAAGAATTTATCTGAGGATTAAAACTTCTTGTATAATACAGTACCTCTGAAACTATCGATAGGCTGTATCCTGGGGCATGGTAGCATTCATCCCATATGTCCTTGGACTTGGTCAAACTAGAAGAGGAATGTCTTTTCTAAAAAAAACAAAAAAATACAAACAAACAACAAAACAAAAAAGAAAACATAAATTTGTTTTTCTAAAATGTACGGGTGACAGGTAAGGGGTATTTTGTGTTTTTTAAATCGCTGCCATTTAGGTCCTCTTAGCGTTTGAAATTGTTGAAGTTGGAATATCTGCCACCTGGTGGTGAACTGTTTCTCCATACATGCCGTCTATAATAAAACATAGTTCATAATTTCAGTATAAAGCACAGTTTGTAACTTCAGTAACACCAGTTATTGAAGGCAGCTGGCAAAAGAGCATCAGTTGTTCCATGGGCCTTTGTCAATCTGAATGCTTCAGAATTCTTTTCCTGTTCCTCTGCTTACAGATAAATGTAATAAGCTGTCAGGTTCACTGCTGACTTTACTCATATATATGATATATGATACAAAGAGTATAATGATAGATCCTGTACCATGATAGATATATACACATAATATTTTCATGATATATGTCTGATATTTTCATTTCCAGGCTGCAAACCATTTGGAATTGGAGCTTCAGGTAGACCAGTAGGCAGCAGCCAAGTGTCTTTTTCAGCGTGGAGGACCATTTTTTTTATGTTACTGGTATAATTCCAACTGGAAAACTGACACCAGGTACTGTCTTCTATGTGACAGTAAGAACAGACAAGGTATCTAGTTCTTTTTAATAATCCTCTGGTATCCAGATTACTAGCTTGCAAAATGTGGCACCTGGTCTATTATCATTTAACTGAAGTACTTCTTATTATTGTGCTTTTCTTTTAGGAATAAACAGTGCCAGTTAGGATGTTTGATCATTAAATATCTCTTCTGCCTGGGAATCTTACAGAGAAGGAAAATAGATAACAGGGAGGTACAAATGAAGGGGTTTCTTTCTGGTTTATTTTATGGTATTCTTGAGAGAAGCACTTTGTGTTCACATGACTGGAGAAACGGATTCCTGCATAAACCCACCTGAGGAATGGTCCTGCCAGTTTTATATTATAAAGGTAGGAAATGGTTCTTGAAATGAGAAATACCATTTCAGAGGAATGGCTGGTCCTGTTGTGAAAGATGTTGGGCATCAAAGCTGTAAGAAATTATCTGAAAGGGGTCCTGTTACAAGCATTGGTTTTTAAAGGGTTTTGGGGGTTTAGTGGTTGTAGGGATTTTAAAAAATATTCAAAACTGTCTTCTTGCCAACCCTCACCAGATTTTCACAAGCACACTTGCAGCAATGCTGGCCCCTCAGCTTCTTCCTAGATAGAAACCCACTGTTGTCCTACTCTGATGCTGGAGCTTACAGCTCTGGCTGTGGCATATGCACCACAGCCAGAGCTGTGCCAGTTACTCCAGGGAGATTTTCTTCCCTGCGCATTTCTTCTGGGATTTTTCCATCAATAAAGGAAGAAGCCAGAACAACACCTCAAATTTGGGAAAATCTGCATGGACAGAAACTAACAGCAGATTTGCCTACATACTACCCTTACCTACATGTTCAGAGCAGGGCCTTTCTCCCAGTGTCCCCAACCCCTGAAGGTGAGAGGCCATGGGCCTTGGCTTCCTTCTCTGTCTTCAGGGGCTTCTTTCCCTGTGTCTTCAGGGAATAGCCCTTCTATAAACTCAAACCCCAGTTCCACCTTCAGTTTTGTGCCATGGTGTGAGGCCAACGTGGATGGGACATGCAATGTGACACTAATAACATTTCGGGAATGCTACTTGTAGGTGTTGGTGAGGGTGAGCTTTTTCAAGCTATGTCTCTTTGTGTCTATGCCATTAGCTCTACCTTGAGTTTAACATCTTGTAATCCTATATTGAATAACACAGTAACAGTGACAGAAGCTGAATGTGGTAACTATCTTCCCCCATATGAGGAAGATTTTCCTTTTGAGAGATGGACTGGTCCTTTATTCCTTGAAATCAGCAAAGTATACCTGAGTAAATGTATGTGTGTATTTGCATGCATAGATACATGTGCATTTAATATAAAAACTGGCTTAAATGCTACTTTCAGCATTTTGACATCACGTGATGCCAAAGTAAAGGTCGCTCACCTAGGCTGACCGGCCGAACCAGCATAAGAGCTCATAAAGACTTGTATTAATTAACATAATTGTCCCTGTGGTATGACATTGCAGGGTCAAAGCCTTGCTTGATGCTGAGTTTCTGCTGTGGCTCTGCCCTCAACTTCCATGAGATTTATTCACACTCCCCTACTAGCCTAGACCAAATGTCTAAATTTTATGATTAAAGCTTGTCTAGTGACAGTATTTTAAGTCATTTACTCTGCAATTGTTGCAGCATTTGACAGAGGCATTTCTTTTGCAGAAAGTTGTAAAATTCTGAAGGGTAAAATCTTACTGCAAAAATTCCAAAAATTTTGCATAGAAATGGAGGAGTTATAATAAAGTCTGATTTCCCATTTTGATCCTAGGGAAGACAATGTGTCCATGAGACACTTTTAATCCAAAGTAATTCTCCGTGCAGTAGGCGTGCGTCCTGAACAACACTGTTAATCTGCTTCTAACTGCCCAGAAGGTATGCAGAACCTTTATTGGCATTATCCATTTATCTGATTTGTAAGTTAATGGGATATTTCTGGTTGGAGTAACCTACAGAACATTGGAAAATATTTCCTGTTGGCTCTCTCATGGAAATGTGAGAAATGCAGCGTCTACCCAGAAGTAAAAACATACTGTCCCTGAGCAGGTTGTCACAAGGGGCATTCTGTTCATCATAAAATAGTATCCTCATCCAAGGCCTGCTTGTCTTTAGACTGCAATCTCCCAAGACTGGAAGAGCACTTTCCAAGTAACAGTGATTTATGCTAATGTGAATAGATAATGAATACTACAGTATTTGATAAACATACCATTTGTTTGGGGATAGTCAGACTTCCAGGTTTTCTTCTCTGGACCTGAACCTGGAGAACTATCCTACTTAATATCCTCAAGGTTTCCAGACTCTAGTCTCCATTTGAGGATGTCTAACAGTGTTAAATACCCTAGGAGCACCCTAATAGTTCCAGTCTGTTACAAATGCTCTGAGAGTTATAGTCAGGCTGTAGCCTCTTCAATCCAGCAGGGAAAAAATGGAAAAAGTCCCTTTTTGGTTTGGAATAAAAAACTATCAGAAACAGACAAAAAGAAAACTCTGAAAACTTTTGGCTTGGAAAAATACTGAAATAGTCACAAGATGAAGAATAATTCATGTCTCTATTGCTCCCTCCATCCAGAATCTGGAAAACAAAGCATCTTGACTGTGCCTGCAGCCTCCCTGAAAGACGAGGAAACAGCAGGCATAATGATACAGGGGAAAGGCTGTAAAAGGCTGATGGGAGAACTGATTTAGAAGCAGACATGAGTAAATTGGATTGATTTGGAGATTGGATGTGCAGAAGTAATTGAAGTAATTGCTGAGTACTGCTCAGAGCTCCTGCAGCAGGAGTGTCAACATCATCTTTGTAAAAAGCTGTCACCACTAATCCTCATTCACATATATAGTTTGAGAAAAACCTGAAGAGTGAGGAAAAAAAAAACATAGAAATGCAAAATATGTATATTTGTAATATATTTGTAGTAGTATATATTTGTAATAGTCACTATTTAAGAGTCAATACTGATTATTAAATACCATAGAATTACAGAATTTTATAATAGTTTGGGTTGGAAAGGACCTTAAGATCATCCAGTTCCAACCCCCCTGCCATGGGCAGGGACACCTCACACCAAACCATCTCACCCAAGGCTCTGTCCAACCTGGCCTTGAACACTGCCAGGGATGGAGCATCCACAGCTTTCTTGGGCAACCTGTTCCAGTGCCTCACCACCCTAATAGGAAAGAACTTCTTATATCTAACCTGAACTTCCCCTGTTTAAGTTTGAACCCATTACCCCTTGTCCTATCGCTGCAGTATAAAGAATGATTTATTTATGTTTTACCTTTTAGGGATAAAGACCCTAGGAACAGAGGAACTGCAATGCTGGAACCAGTTTGAACCTGTGTTTGATCTAAGTCTTGTATCCTGCTTCAAACAATCATCAAAAACAGCTGGATCAGAAAACTGCAGAAGAAATCTCCACTAGTGATAATAACCCCACAGGATAAAAGTCTTCCTATCCTTATCACATATATCCTTGAGCATCAGGCTTTTTATTTAGCACACACTTTTTTTTTTTTTTTAATGTTACAGTATGTTCTCACGATGCATGTAAATGTCTAACCCTTTTTTAATGCTGTATAGCCCACAGCCCTTTCAGATGCAGGCATCAGCATGGAGAAGCAGATGCTTTAGTGCAAAAGGTAAGATATAAAATTGAAGAGGTGTGGTATGAGCTGCATTTTAAAATAAAATTCAACAAAAAGAGTTGAATGTCAGAGTGCAGCAGAAAGAGTGGGCTGTTTAGAGTGCTTGTCCCCCTGTATGATATGAATGCAGCCAATACAGACCAGCAGCAAATGGGCTGTGGGAGACAGGCAAGGCTGCAGCTCACCAAGTGTGGTGTGCAGAAGGAGGCTAAAGAGATGTAAAGTGGGTAAGACAAACCATAAATATCGGATATATGACCTCACATGGATACAAGTGTGCAACACATGGGATCACAAGTTCATTTCATTCCCTACCTATTTCTACCTATTCTGGTTTTACCTATTTCTGTTTTATAGGATATGTTTTGTTCAGTGTATTTTGAACCTGTATTCTTTTACCCTTGCATTTCATTCAGGATGGAAGAAGGCAATATTTAAGTTCTCAGTATAAAGAACAGCCAATAAAAAAGATATTGTTGTAAGGCAGTACTACTAGACACTTGTATGAAGCAAAGTCTAAATATATTTGTTCCATAACTTTTTACATATATATATTAGGAAAATAGAGAAAACACTAAACTGCTAGCTAATTTTCAAACTGGATCTGTTTTTCTTCCAATTTACAGGATTACAGAAAGTTCATACCATGTTTTTATTATTACTTGCAATAGGAAATCCATTTTAAATTACAAATGCCATGGACATTCCAATATGGTGTGTGAAAGTAGGAGCAGTCATAAGACTGCATGAAAACTTCAGGTGCTTCAGGTGCTTTTCTTCTGCTGTGTTAAACACTCAGAACATAGACTAATCAGATGATGCCAATAGTCTGAATGCTGTATTGTATATCACTAGCGCCCTGGGATGTAATTAAGATATATCACTAGGCAGGTAAACAAGTCTGGATTATGCCTGGCTGCTTGGGGGAAACTATCTGTGACTGGCTGGCTTTATTCAGCTACAGAAGAGCAAGGAGAAGAAGGGTATGACCCTAACCGCGTACTACACAGCTTCACTTGAGGGTTCATCCAAGAGACAAGATCTGGCAAAGCCCCATACAGCCCTGGGAGTTAAGGCTTCCCAATACTCAGTATTTCATACCTCCAAGCTTAGGTATCTATCTCCTCCTTTGATAGCCTGGGATTCTTTTGAACTCATGCTGGCCACTGAAATGCCCCAAGTATTCCAGTGTTTATAGGGCTTTGTTTTGAGTCCTGGATTTTTCTGTGGGAATCAATTAGGAAAATGTTAAACATGGCAACACCAGAATCTGGTGTTTAGGCATAGGTTGATTTTGTGAGCCATGACAGACCCATGATTGCATCTGTTATGGAAAGCAGAGGAGAGAGAGAGCCTGGAAAGAGAAGTAGTATTGGGAAAGATCCAGAAAGCTGTGATTTACAATAGTGTCAAGGGTCCCCTATAGTAGTCTGTCTCAGTGGCTGACCATGGTGGGAGTAGCTACATAGAGCTACATCTGTAGTGTGTTATTGACCTTTCTCTCTTCCTTTCTTCCAATTTGTTGCTATAAACATCTGTATATTTTGGCTACATCTAGAAGCAAACCTATAGTCACTACTGAAGCTCTAAGGAGACCTATGAAAATAACCAACCAGCCAATGAATAATTCATCAGTGCTGGAATATTTTAATTGACTTCAAGATATGCTGTTTAGTATTAAGTGAAGTGTATCTCCTGATTAGGAAGTCTATTTTCCTTTGTTATTAATTTTTTAGCTTTTGTGTAAAATGACTGGGTTTTCTTTTCAATCTTCATAAAATAAAAGGCTTTTACATCTAGGAAGAGGTCTCTGTAATCACTTAAAAATGGTAAATTGACACACAGCAGTATGGGGAGTTCCCAGACATTCCACCTGTAACAACAGAGGTCCTGGAAGTACAGACAGCCTGTTCAGGCACATCAGGTGCCACCCATGCTGCTTACTGTCCTGTTGGGACATACCCCAGTAACTCACTGTGGTTGAGCACATGGGGTCCTGAAATTCAGGGGTACATTTTTTTCACCTTGCTGCTCTATTTTGGGAAGACAAATCACCTATACAAGGTGACAGCCAACATCTATGAAGTAGTGCAAGTGCTGAGCAGTGTCTGTAGAGTGAATTTAAACACTCTGGGAATCCATCTGGTAACTTCAGAAATGCATTAGTGCAGAACAGATGCACACCTCTCGCTTCTGGTCAACTTCTCGACTTGTGGTATAAGCAAAAATTGCATATTCATAAATGCAAAGCACAATTCAGTACTGTTCATTTGGCCTTTTAACAGTCGAATCTGGAGTATAATCACAGTTGTGCTTCTCAGGAGATAAACTGTAATGTCCATAAGGATATTCTTCACACATGCTATGAAGTCTAAAACTGCCTTTCTGCAGCTATTCTCCTAACCTCCCTCCAAGAGTGACAGCAGGTAGCAGCAAATGGTAGCTTGCTGGGAGATATACATACTCCCTCTTTTATCATCACTGTGAACTGCAAGAAGAATCAGGATCCGGGTTTCCTATACTTCATTCACCTCAATGGAGTGAGGAAAATTGTAGCAGAGGACAGAAGATGGCTAAACCCGCAGTTTCTCCAACACAGCAATTTAATGTTTTGTCACTGACATACTGTTCTCCACTTTCTCCTACACATTATTATGAGGAGCAAAAAAAAAACAAACACCAAACATGAGTAATCTCTGGATTAACTTCTTTCCAGGGTAATGTGCAGCTGTTCACAATTGGGGTTTTCTTGTTGAAAACTGTTGGTTATTGTGCTTTTGAGATTTCCTTTCTCTCCTATACACTAAAGCTGAATGAAGGTTTACTTCTAAAGGTCATTTTAAAGTGTGGTAGCAGGGTAGGTATATTTCCCCTCTGAACTACTGTGATAGCTTGACACTGGGAAGTCATACATGGCCAAGTGTTAATTACAGACTCCACAAGTTTTGCAATCGTTGAGGGTAGGTCACCTGTCTAGAATTTTTTTCACTCCCTTTACTCATCTGTGGAAGATCAACACCACTGTAACAATTTAGACATATTAAGGATCAACTCCTGTTTTTAAAGATACGTATATGTCCTGGTTTCAGCTGGGATAGAGTTTTTTTTCTTCCTTGTAGCTGGTGCAGTGCTGTCTTCAGTCTGAGAACAGCACTGATAACACCTATGTTTTTAGTTGCTGCTCAGTAATGTTTACCCCGACCAAGGACATTCTGAGTCTCATGCTCTGCCAGGGAAGAAGGGAAGCTGGGAGGGAGCAGAGACAGGGCACCTGACCCAAACTAGCCAAAGAGGTATTCCATATCACAGCCCAGTATATAAAAGGAGGGGAATTACCTGGAAGGGACCGATTGCAGCTCAGGTTGGGCTGGGTATTGGCCAGCAGGTGGTGAGCACTTGTATTGTGCATCACTTGTTTTCTGAGCTTTCATTTCTCCTTTTTTGTTGCTTCCTATTATTATCAGTATTGTTATTGCTGGTATTCTTTCTATTATCACTATATTTTATTTTTGTTTTGAACTATTCTTATCTCAACCCACAGGTTTTACATTCTTCTGATTCTCCTCCCCATCCCACCCAAGGGATCAGTGGGCAGCTGCATGGTACTTAGTTTCCAGCTGGGTTTAAACCACAACAGTGTGTTATGTCATGGTTTATTTATTTGGAATGTTCTGGTTGACTATTTTCTAGCCCTGTTGATTTAGTACCTTTGATTTTTCCAGTCACTGCAACTACTATTTCAAAACAGTTAAGCCAGAAAATACCTGTCAGATGATGGAAGTCAAGCATAGTACAAGACATCTGAGTGTACCATGATAGATCATACAGCTGATAAACCTGTACTCCATTATCCATTCAGAATTGTCCTTCTCTCTGACCTTTCACAACAAAGCAGGAGGGGCTTCCACAACTTCACCTGTGTGATGAAACAAATAGTAATTATTTGATAGCTCAAGGGCAGCACTTTATGTATGTTACAACTTGGTTAGACTAAGAGAAGTTGGGAGGTAGTTCAGGAGAATTGCAGTAGATGAAGTACAGCTGACAGTGACCTGTGCCTTGGATGTTTTATCATTACATTGTCTGCCTTTGACTCTTCAAGGATTTTAAAGCATTTGAATTACAAGTTACTGTGGTAACTCGCATGTTGTAAAGGACCAAGCACAGTGGGATGCATAGTGGCCCAGGGCTGGTGCTCAGCATGCACAGGTTCAGAGTTCGACTGCGAGGACACAGCTGAAGGGACTGTCTTTTGCATGGCCAGTGAGATCTTTTTCTTGACATCTCACCTGCTACATCTGATAGAGAAAAATATTACACCACCTTACATCAAAATGGGAGGAAGCGGTATATTCCTCACATTACATACTTTCAAGAGAGCAGTGGGGATAAGGCGACATTACAACTAATGCATACTATTCTTATTAATGTGATGTTGGGTAGCGCTGCTAAACCACACACTCAATGAATCTCATCCAGAACTCTTGGTATGACCCTGGAAATCACTAAAGTTCACATAATTAAAGAAGTTTCCCTTTATTTGTTTTCCTGGGTTCAAATCACTACCATTCAACTCCAGGTTTTTTTCTAGCATGGAGCCTTGCAAAAATACAAAGCTTCGGGAAAACAAGTCTTGCGACAGCCGGTGGCCACGGCCGCCTCAGCAGCGTCTACCAGCGGCAACTTTGGCATCGAAGTTGCTATGGTTTGAGAGGGAAACGCCGGGAGCCAGCTGAACGAACTCCGGCGCTGCGAGGCTCGGCAGCTGAAGCCCCACCGAGCGGGCCCTCGTCCGCTGCAGGCCCCGGCCGCATTTTCACGGCCACCACCGGGCCTGCGCTCGGGCCTCGCCGGGCAGCGGGGGCCGCAGGGACTCTGTGCGGACATCTGGCACCCCTGGAGGCGGGAAGAGCGGATCAGATGTCGGCTACCAGGGGCTCAGGCAGGTGCCGGGCAGAGGGGCGGCACTGCTGGGATGAGAGGGGCAGGGCAGGTCAGGCCAGCGAACCCCTCACAGTAAGGCACGGCCCGTCCCAGCCCCGCCCCAGTCCCCCGCGGGGCGGTGGGGAGCGGCTGGGCAGCCCCAGCGGCCTCCGCCTCCTCTGGCAGCGCGGGGAAGGACAGCAGCTAGAGGGAGCTCCTCCGGACTGCATCTGCCCGTGCGCCCCGGTTCCTTTCATAGGCTCTCCCGCCCCGTCCCCTCCCTCCTTCCCCCGTGATGGCGGAGGACAGCGAGTCTGCGGCCAGCCAGCAGAGCCTGGAGCTGGATGACCAGGACACCTGCGGCATAGACGGCGACAATGAGGAGGAGACCGAGCACGCCAAGGGGTAGGGGCGTGCTGCGGGACGGCCGGTCGGGCGCAGCCCGGGGAGGCAGCCCTTGTGTCTGCTGCTGCTGCGGCAGCAGTAGGGCTGGACGTGCCGCCGCGGATACTGTGCGCGGCGGGCCGGGCCGGGCTTCCGTTGCCACCCGGCGAGGGCGGGCAGGGGAGTGCAGGGCATGCGAAGCGCGCTGCTGTCAACCGGCGGGAGGCCTGCACGGCGCGGCCCGGCCCGGCCCGGCCTGGCGCTCCTCCGCGGCGCTTGCGCGTGTACGGCCCGCGGCCGAGGGGCCCCGGCGGCGGCGCCCCGCGTCCCCCTCCCGGGCCGCTCTCCGCTGCGACTGGCAGAGTGCGGGCGAGGGAGGGAGGGCCCTGTTGCCTCGCTGTGCTGCACGGCTCCGCTCCCCGCCGGGACCGAAGGGAGAGGCGGGGGCATGGGCCCCCGGCCTGAAGTGAGGGCAGCGGGGCTAGCGCTTTTTCTCTGGACACCGGCCTTAAAAGCGAGCCTTAAAAGGGAGGGTAAATTCTGTTCTGTTATCTGTGCTTTCTCAGGATTTGGGGGCGTTTCTTGGGAATTCTGGCCGTTGGAGAGGGCCCCGTGATGGGCCACGGCGCCCTGGGAAATACCCCTATGGTCCCTTCCTTGTTTCGGTCGGTTCCAGCTGAGCGGCCCCCTCGCGTCAGGCCTCATACCCCCATGTGCCCCCTGACACCCACCCGCACGCTCCCATCCCGCCCTGAGGATCTGTCCAGGCATCATCTCTGTCACTGTCCTGCAGACGCTCCTCTTCAACATCACCTATTGTCCAAAAAGGAAATATTACCTGTAAATCCACATGCTGTAGAGAGCAGAGATCGTGTTTTACCAGGGCATTAGCGGAGCAAGTGCTGTTGTTCTGTTTGTAGTTCCTTCTCCGCTAATCTTGTGTCTTAAATCTTCCCACGCTGCGGATCAGGTGCTGTCTCCAGTTGCTTGGGGAGCTGACAGGAGAGGCAGCCAGTATAAATGCGGCTCCCTGCAGCCGGGCGCTGTTGGGCTGTGCGCAGTGTGGTTCTGTCCAGCCGCAAGGTGCCAAGGGTCTGGCTTGCTCGGCACGTCTGGGAGGAACATGTTTTAAAAACTGACTTCAGTAAAATGTACTTTTTTGCAGGGTTATCAGATGTGATTGCAGAGAAAATGCTTTGTTGTTGCAACCAGGAGTGGCTGGAGTAACCTAAAATAGAACTAGGTTAATCTATACGCAACTGCACAGATACCTTCCTCGTGAATTTCTGATTGATCAAGTTGAGAGCATTTCTGTAGGTGATTGGTGTTTGAGGATGTGTGTTTGTCATCTCCTGCCCTGTGATTTGCTTGGCAACAGGCAGCTCTGCGTCTTAAATGTGGCCAGAGAAATCTAGGAGGCCGTTTAGGACTGACTTGTCTAAAAGGCAGGAAAGGGGAAAACTTTGATGCTTGCTGCTGACAGTAAATTCATGGCATGCACACTGAGACAGTTGTGTCAATTATAGTAATATAAGTCTGGCATATTGAAAAGGGACAAAGTAGTGTTTAATTATCTTGGAGCCTTTGTTACATTTGTGTGTAAATATGCCACAGTTGATGATTCCCAAATATGCAAAAATAACGCCACTAACAGCAGAGAATGATTACTGCTCTTCGCAAGAGCCAACCTGACATGCCAGAAGAGATTACTTGATAGCTGGCTGACGCCTGCCTAGAATTCATTCGTACCTTATTACTACTTCAGTTTCCTCTTCTGTTTGTGTGTGTGACTGAGCTGTAGTTGCCCTCTGCAGTGTAGCTAGGCTTGCAGCTATGCGCTCGGGCTGCTGTGGCAGCCAGCGCAGGAGAGCAGTGTCTAAGAAGCAGCCAGAGAACAAAGAATTGCACTTTGGTGTGTTCTGAATCACGGCTTGCTGCTCTACTCCAGCCTGGGTCTGTGAGGGACAACCGCTGCAGCTGTGGGCTGTATGCTGTTCTCCCCAAAACTTGGCCTTGTTGAATATCCCCAGTGTGTTTCAGTGAATATCCCACAAGTATTTCAAAGAAGCTGCTTTATTCATCTTAGAATAAGAAAGTGAATGCTTCCAAGTTATATGAAGTTTAATTAAATTAGTGGTAGACCATTCCAGTAGAAAAAAAACCTCTGTTATTATCAGTTTTCTATTATGCTTCTGATGCATCCTGATATTGTGTCTTCTGTCTTCTGTACAGTATTGTAGACTTCTAATAAAGTCTAATATTGCATTTTGAATTACTTTATTTTCCTGTAATCTTTGAGAGTCTCATTTGCCACTATCTGTCTGCAGGCTGAAGCTTTCAAACAGATTCCATCAAATGAAAAGAAAAACACTACAGCAAACACAAAGATCTACTTTTGATCTGGGAGATTAACCCATGGTAGTAGGAGCCTAATTATTCCGTTTTCTCTCTATTATAGTATATTATTTTTTCAGGTAACTTTAAAGTGTACTTTGAGCTTTTAGATTAGTTTGTATGTACCTAAACAATCTATGAGCGGTCTCGCTACTTGCGATGATGAGTGTGTGAACGGGCTTGCTAAATTCTGAATGGTCTCTATTGCTGCCTATCAATACTTAGTCTCATGCCATTTTAATCCTCGCTTTTTTAGAAGGAGGTAGAGTGTGTTTTATGTCAGTCTCTAATAGTATTGCTTTGTAAATGAAATTACTTTCAAGCTGTTTCTTGACATTTGAAAATAAGTCCTTATAATTCTGATTGAAAAAACGTGATTTCTTATATATATGTTTTACTGTTAAAAAAAATTGCTGTTTTTTTTAATGTGCTTGAGCATTGAATGTCTGCAGCAGAAAATACCATTTTACAGCTCTCAACTGTGCAAATGTCTTTGTCCTCTGATTCTGCTCCTGTTTTTTAGATGCAGGATTATGTATGTTGTGTGAGTCATTGCTGTTCTCCTGTTCTGTGTCTGCAGCTTGCTCCTTCTAGATGCATTATGCTGTACTTGTTCAGTTTCATAATAAAGTGTTGTTTACAAAATAGCTTTGTTAGTTTGTATGTAGAAAAATGTGTTTATTGCACCTGAATCTACCCTGCTGAGCCTAGCTTTTTAAGATCTTGTAGTACATTCTCAATAACTCCTTATGCTCTATGGTAGAAAGGCTTTGGGCACAGAACATTTAGTAAACAGATGAGGAAAAAAAGTATGACCTTTAAACAACTCCCCTAAACCTCACAAATTATTTACTTTTAATGTCTCAGTAGTATAGCCCTTTGATTACTGTTAAAAGGAAACTTCATAACCAGCACTACTTTTAGATAAATATATATATATATTTTTTAAGGTACTGGAGACAGTGCTCAGTTTTAGCAGGTGAGATTTGCATCTTAGTGTGCAGACTTGAAGGAGGAGGCAGAGGAAACATGCAGAGCTTTGAGGAGTATGTTTGGTTAGGTTTTAAGGCATTGCTGCTACATTTTCATGCTCAAAAAACTTGCATTTCCAAGTACAGAAATGTATGCAAATGAAATCTTTGTCCAGAGAGTTTTTTACTAAGGGTAATTTGTTTGTAAGTGGAATTTGAAGGACATAAGCCCTTCTGGTCAGGACCTTCTTTCTTGAAGTGGTATTAGTCTAATACAGCAACGGGCAAGCCCTTTACATCTAAGCCTCCATTTTATTTATGAACCAAGGACAGTCCTACTATAAGTAATACTATGTGGAAATTTTGTGGAATCTTGCCCATATACATGAGACCTGATTTCTGTGGTCAAAAATATCTATAGATCTTCAGAAATGTAGTTTTGCAACCTCACAGAGAGAGCCAAAACACTGTGAAGGTAAAAACCACACAGAGGCCTAGGCCTTTGCAGCTTAAAAATAAACATCTGAAGTACGTGTTTGGTTTTAAATTTAAGAAATTGCTACCTTAAAATTCCCATTCAATGTAATTTAAAACAAGTATTGGTACTACAAAAAGCTGTTTCGGTTAAAGAAGAACTTAGCACCCCAAAAGGCAGTTAAAATAACCCTGACAAATACTCAGTGGGAAAAGATAATCTCAAATCAAAACAAAGGGAGCCAAAACAGTTTGACCACCTGAGTAACTGTCATGCTCCCCCTGATTCTTCTGTCTCAGCTTTTCATGGTTTTGGTCAGAGCTGCACAAAGTAAGTTTCTCTGCCTCTGCCACTCCTCTCCCCAAATGCAGTTAAGTATTCCCATTTTTCAGTTAATAAAAAAACCACATGGACAAACCCCCCAAAACC